AGTCCCAAACTAAGCAAAGCTTGTACTATGGGTACTAGACAACGGATATAAACATACTTAAATACTTTTTTTTTTGTAAATACATACTTATTATACATAGAAAACACCCAGTCCAATACAAACAAATATGTTCATGCACACAACTGTTTGTACTGTGCGGGAATCGAACCCGCTACCTCCGGAATAGTAGTCCGTTTCGAACCATTAATTAAGTATTGTAAGTGTATTGTCGATGATACTGAATAAACATTTTTTTCTTTCTTTCTTTCTTCTTCTTTCTAATTTAACAAAGGCAGAGGAGGATTTAATGGAGAATTCAGCCTACACTTCCCACGCTCTGGCCAGACGGGTTGAGTAGTCATGTAAATATTAGAGAACAAAGGGCAGGAATCAATAGGACAATGTAAGCCACAATAGAAGAGTATCAGCTAAATATTCCAGATTTCGTTATCCAATAAATCTACCGCAGTAATTCTAAATCCTATTCAAGATTTGGCGTTCAAACCGATACAGTATTTACTCGATGGGAGCTTGGATTGTGGCTTTAACATGCAAATACTATGTTCATAAATGGTGTATAGTTTCTTAAGCAGTGGTTAATCTATTATAGATTTCTGTTTCACTGCTGTTTCACTGTATGTTTTCCAAACAAAATAAAATATAAAATATAATATAATATAATCTTATTAAACCCTCTCATGTTATTGTACAATATTGAGTATTGAAATTGTGTTATTCTGTTTATGAACTTATAGACTAGAAAGTCGATTTTAGTGTTGTTGGTTATTCAAAAAGTAGGATAAAATTACTGCTTAAGATATTTTCGTTCGTTCGTTCGTTTCAACCAAATGACGTCCACTGTTGGACAAAGGCCTCCTCCAAGGTTTTTCACAATGCACGGTCCTGCGCTGCCCGCATCCAGGCTCTTCCCGCGACCTTTACCAGATCGTCGGTCCACCTAATAGGAGGCCAGCCCACGCTACGTAAGATATACTCATATATTTAAATCCTACTTTTGAAAGGCTGGATGGGATAAAAACTGTCCTCCATTTTTTCCTGAGTACCTGTCTTTACACGTGAAAGAGGCACAATCATCCCTCTACCATCCTCATTCCTCACTTTTCTAATTTAAAATATTAAGCAGGATTTGGTACAATATGAGCTAGAGGTAATTATTCTACTGGGACAAAATCGTAAGGATCAGTTCTCAGAACCGAATCTTGGACCAACATTGTTTCAGGTTATCGCGGTCAAAGCTTTAACGTATTCCGAAGCTTAATTTAATTAAGTCTGAGATATTCTCAGGTGAAACTCCGTTTGTGTATTCACAGCAGTACCTATCTAATATTATTTGCTTTGTTTATTACTACAAGCAAGTACTATAATAAAAGGGTTCCCTACGTTTTATCGAAAGTCGTTTCATCGAAGGTCGTTTCATCGAAGCCGTTTCATCGATTGGTCATAATCTCGAACGTACGAAATATCGAATGCCGTATCATCGAATGGTCACATTATCGAATGGTCGAATCATCGAATGTCTTAGTGTCGAAAGGTTGTTTATTTTAAGTATCAAATATGGCAACATGGAAGGTTACGTTAGGCTGACTTGCACCATCTCACTTTAACTGAGACAAACGTCAAAAATCTGTCAAACTCTATACATAAAAACACCGGTTATCGTCATAGATACGGTTAAAGTCAGGTGGTGCAATGCAACTCAGCCCAAGTTAGTTTAAACCCAGCTTTTTTTCCGTAACTTTAAATATCCAACTATCAAGTTTAATGACATGTGGTTAAGTATATGTATAAGTATCGAGAAAATGCGTTTTCAAACCACCAAAATAGTAAAAGGGCGGTAAAGTCACGAAAGTGATTTAAATTTAACTAGAACGTCAAAGTTTGATTTCGCTGTATGGATGTTTTTTATGCTGGGTTGCACCATCTTACTTTAACATTGACAAACGTCAAAAATATGTCAAACTCCATACAAAAAACGCCGGTTATGGTTAAAGTTACGGTCAAAGTTAGGTGGTGCAACTCAACCTTAATTTAGCTTGTAGGTACTAAGGCACTAAGGCAAAGGCGTGAGTGCATCGTACAGCCAAGTCTGGTCGCCGAACGCTATTGTGTTATTCAATAATATAATTAATAATATAATTTTTTATATCAAAGTCAAAGTCAAAAGTCAAAATTTCTTTATTTGTTTGGACTAATAAATAGTTCTTACAAATCGTCATTTTGCTCTTAAGGAGCCTCTACATGTCTCATAATCTTTTTACCCTACCAGCGCTTCGAGACCAACATTTGGCAAGTGCTGAGAAGAAGCGCCGCAACAAACTCAGTCACCACTGTCTGCCGGTTAATATAAATAAATAGAAATAGTAGTAGTAGGTACATTCGATTCAGGAGCAGTTCACTGAATTTACCATGCATTCTTGTATGGTGTATCTTATAAGAATGGGTATACAAGATTGCGTGGTATATTAAACAAGGTAGTGGACAGATTTACCCGATGGCCTGAGGCATATCCACTTCAGGACATCACTGCGGAGAGCTGCGCTGCCGCCCTCGTGTCGGGTTGGATTGCCAGGTTTGGCTGTCCCGAGCGAATAACCACTGATCGCGGCCGTCAATTTGAGTGCCACCTCTTCGAGGCCCTTGCTGCCATGGTTGGTGCGCACCACTTCCGCACGACCGCCTACCACCCTGCGGCGAACGGCATCGTCGAGCGTCTACATCGACAACTCAAGGCGGCGATCATGTGCCATGCTCCTTCGCAGTGGCATGAAGCTCTTCCGTTGGTCTTGCTTGGCATGCGCAGCGCTTTTAAAGAGGATCTTCAATCATCCCCTGCTGAGTTGGTGTATGGCGAAACTCTTCGCCTCCCAGGTCAGTTCCTGAGTCCGAGGGATGATTACAAAACTGCCGATGTCACGCAGTACGCAACCCGGCTTCGCGCGTACATGGCCAAGCTCACCCCTCGGCCAACTTCATGGCATGCCACTTCATCTTTCTATATTCCACGAGATCTTCAGTCCAGTTCGCATGTTTTCGTCCGGCAAGATCGCCTCAGAACATCATTGGAGCCTCCATATGCTGGTCCATTCAGAGTGATCAAGAGACAACCAAAGTTTTATACTCTGGACATCAACACAAAGGAGGTGAACGTCTCTATCGACAGACTTAAACCAGCATATGCAACACAGGATTCAAGAGAGGCCGAGATTCCAGACGCTAATGAAGATAATGTCAGGCAGACCTCCAGCGGCAGAATAGTGAGGTATCCAGACTTCTACCGACCGTAGTTACGGTCTGGCGGGGGAGTACTGTGGCGATCTATGTATGCTTGTACGCCACAATGCAATGCAAACTCATTCGTCCGCCCGCGGCACTCCGTGCCGCGCGCTCCTGGCCGGCAATAAAAAAGAAGTTTTTAGGTCGTCACTTTTGACACTTCACTGCGACTCGCTCTTTTAATTTTATTCGGATTGATAATTTTATTTCTTTTATGTTTTTGTAATATAGTCAATTGTAAATACATTTCTTTATTCAATGCCGCTTATAATTTGATATACACCTTCGATAAATTAATGTGAGGAGACGTTCGATTCGTCTCCCACAGACCTATAAAAAAAGTCGGACGGAGTCTCCTCAACAAAATACTGTGACATTAGGATACACCAGCTTGCCTGTACGTACAGGCCGGCACGCACACATTCACACCCTGATACACCACTTCGAGTGCAAACTTCACACAGTTGACACATTTAAGCAGCGAAAAAACAACACGAACACGACATGTCTTGTGTGATGAAATTGTGTAAAAACCGTTCTGTTCGAACAAACAAAAATTAAGGAATCACATTTCACAGGCAAAATAATAATCCAATCACTTATTTCCCGACATTAAAATATTGAAATTAATTGAAATCAAACGTCATTCACTCGAAAAAATAATACGTCAAAGACCAGTGTTCTCAGTTATTTACGTGGGAAAATTACCCGAAATATGGGAAATTAATAATAATTTTAGGACTTTTTAGTTATTTATTACGCATACTATGGAAATAAAATAATTTATCATAATAATTGTGTTTTAATGGGATATATTTTCATAGGCAAATTTTATCCTTCCCAAATGGCTCATATTTGTATGGGTGGAATCTTGCAAACTGAATTAAGACCCACTTCCAGGCAACCGATTAAGCTGAAATTTCGCAAACACATGTGATTTGGATGACCATGCAATATTATGATGACATGGAGCTGATCTGATGATGGAGCTGGAAGGTGGCCATAGGAACTCTATAATAAAACGACTTAAATGCATCGAGTTTGGGCTCGTTCGTTTTGTATTGATGAGTATTTTAATTCTATATAGTAATCGGGGTCTAATGATGGAGCTGGAAGGTAATTCGCAATAAACGACACAATCGCATCAAGTTTGGGTTTGGTTCAATTTTAATTTCTGTGATGGGTCTGGGTGTTAATATGTATAATAAGTTTGTATTTACAAAAAAAAAATATTTAAGTATGTTTATAGCCGTTTTCTAGTGAGCGGACGCTGTGAATGTACGTCACACGGGGTCACGTGACCGTCGGCGGGACTCAATATTTAAGCGAACTTTGAATGCCTATAAAATCATAACTACTGGGTATTTTTGAATGAAATAAAAACTAATGTATTTGTAAATGTAAAAGCTTAACTGTAACATAGGTTTCAAGTGATTTTGCATACCTAGTAACATTCTCAATTATGTCTACATTTCCAAGTAACATCTGCCGATCTATGTTTTTCTTAAAATAAATGGGTAAAATGTTTTGGCTAACATGGCATCCCTAAATTCACTCACACAATAGACAAACGCCAAAATTTTGCGTCACAGTTTTGTTGTAGCGCGAGTTCCGTCCGCCTTTTTTTATAGGTCCATGTCTGTAGGTAGCATTACAAATTATAATCAAAAACAGTCTATTAATAGCTAATTTTGTATTTCTTTCAGTCGTGGCGTCGTGGAAGGAACCAGTTCCTGGCTGGACCGCTTCCAAAGTTGGCCCGCAAGGCTTTCTTATGGGTGCTAGCAAAGGTATGTTAATTACTGCCCAGCTACACTTATACAATGTATAGTAGTATAGTAATCGGAATAGGTTGTGTGATTCTTTCAGGCAGTGCATTTTCGCATGTCGCGTGCGCTATGAAAAATTTACATTCGTTTTGCAGAATAGCTCAAATACTAATATTACAATGCAAATAAAAACTACCTTAATGACCTGCTTTTTCTTGTGTTGGAAAAAAACTGAAAAAGTAGTGAAAAAAGTCATATTTTTTTCTAATTAAATCCATTCTTACTCCCTTAAAATGTATGAAACTTGTATTTGTTTTCTACTTCTGCTAATATATAATTTTATTGGCTATCGCATGATATAAAATTTTTGCTTATTAGTGTTAAGCTACCCACGCTATCACTTGTTTTTGAAGGAAGAGGTGAAAACTTAAAATTCAAAATTTAAATCCTTGTAATTTTGCGAGAAAGGGTCAAGCCCTAAATTTAAAGTATTTTCATCGATAAAATTGTCCATAGATTACGCCCTTAAAGTTTGATCACTACATGCCCGGACACACTGTATTATTAAGAAGAAAGATTGGATTGTTTGTATTGAATAGGCTCAGAAACTGGACTGATTTGAAAAATTCTTCAATGTTAAAATCCGATGACCATAGGCGGTACGAAGTTCGCCGGGGCAGCTAGTTGCACTGTGAGATTTCGCCGTCTCTTCCAATATGCTTCATTAATGTATTTATTTAACATCATTATTGTGTTTTTCTGTAGCATGCTTTTTTGCTTCACATCTTCTACTTGTCAATATTGACCGAAAAAATTAGCATTAGAAACTTTAAAGGCATTTAACTAATTTAGTTTTAAGCTACATGACGTATTAAAATAAGGCTGAACTATGTTTCATTAATAAAAACGATATAACCCTCATTGATTATGCGTTTTCAAAGGTACTTAAAATTGTATTTTTCTATCAACTTAAAAATAATAAGTTTTCTGGGTTTTATGTGTTCTTGTTTTGTGTCCTGAAATTATTCAAATTATTAGTTTATAGGTACAACTCTTCTTTGAATTGGATTATTTCAGGAGTCGTCCGCCGCCTGCCGATGGCCAAAGAGAACATAGCGGACTACATACCAGTCGATGTGGTGGTCAACCAATTGCTGGTCGCCGGCTGGCACGCGGCCAAAGACAAGTGAGTGTTCATCATCATCAGGATCATCATCAGGTCATTAATCTCCACTACAGGACCTTCTAGGTTACCAGAGCAAATGAGGGTTTTGGCCTACACTCCCCATTACCTCGAAAATTACTCACGATATTGCTATTAAAAAAGATCTCCAGTAGCGACCAGGCGTGTGGCCAGGCCGCCCACTAGATGGACTGACGACCTGGTGAAAGTCACTAGTTAAGCAGGACCGGTCGTTGTGGAAATCCTTAGAGAAGTCCTTTGTCTATGGGTTCTGCAGCCTTATCTATGGACCATTTAACAATCTGTACTTCTATACTAATAATATTATAAAATGCGAAAGTAACTCTGTCTGTCTTGCTTTCACGCCTAAACCACAGAACCGATTTTGATGTTTGGCATAGATATAGTTTGAGTCCCGAGAAAAGACATAGGATAGTTTTTATCCCGGTTTTTGAAACAGGGACACGCGCGATAATGTTTTTCTGTGATAGACAAAATTCCACGCGGGCGAAGCCGCGGGCGGAAAGCTAGTCATAAATAAATGTCCACCAGTCTCGTAAACGACATTTATTGCTACTTTTTATTAAGTGGTTTCTTAAAACTGTAATTGATCATGGGGTTCGTGGACAAAGAAGTTTAAGAAACCCTGGACTAGACGATAATGGTAAACTTTTTTTAACAACTTGAAAAAATGTAATTGCCTAAGGTGGGGATCGAATCCACGACTTATTATTTAGGTTAAATTAAATTTAGTTAGAATTTAGGATACTTCATAACGAAAATCTTTTTTTATTTGGTTTTTTATTTCATGATTCTTGCAAAATTGTCCCCAACTAGGTACATGCCACAAAGTATATCTTGACGTGCCGTTAACTGTTTAAATTAATCTTTCAGGTCGGGTTTGACAGTGTACCACTGTTCTTCGTCCACGTGTCGGCCATTCCGCTGGGAGATGATAGAGCCAGCTATTAATGAAATGCTGCACAAATACCCGCTCAAAAGTGCTGTGTGGTAAGTATAAATGCGTTTCATATCATTTATTAACCGACTTAAAAAAAACAGGTTATCAAATCGTTGAGCGGCCACAGTTAGTAGTACCTAGCTAGTAGCCCATTTATTATTCAATTAAAATTCGCAATTTATAAAATCAGCTCTGATACAACTGTTACGAAATATTATTATTAGAAATCACTTATTATAACAAAAAAAAGACTGATTTCGAATTTTCCCTAATCGTAAACCGTTTTTAAATGAAGGAATTATAGCTTTTGTGATAAATAAAAGAAATAATGAAATTAATAACTTTCTATTCGGTTTAGAGCGCACAGTTTAAAAAGGAAGTAGCGATAGTGACAACATTACAAAATTAAACGGATTTCCGTATTGCAAACACACAATATAAAATGGTTGCGTTCCGTTCTAACACTAAATATAGGTAGATGAAATGTTTTTTTAATGAAAAACAATAGTTTATATAAGTTTCCCATGCAAGTAATTATGCATTCGTTTACCAAAAAAGTATTTATATTGAGTTTCCTGGTACCTGCAAGATTTACTTAGTTTGTGGACTAGATGGCGTAGTGTAAAATTTTAGCAATAATTTTGTACTAAAATGTGTACTAATTTTCAGGTACCCCCACCTCAAATTGGTGCCGTCTATCTGGTTGTTCAAACTGTCGGCCATCTTTGTTCATTTCTTCCCCGCTATACTTCTGGACATGCTGCTCAGAGTTACTGGAGGGAGACCCATGTAAGTTAATACATCTATTTTTACAAATATTATAAAAGATTCTGTGTTTATTTTATATTATTTTCGTTTGGGATAACAAACAATAGGCTAGTTTCCTAAAAAAATTTTTTTAGTCCGTCATGTTTAATGTCAAAAAATATTGGACACATATATTTTTATTTGTCAATCTAACAAATAATTACATAGTTATGGTGCGTTGAAGTTCCGCACGACGTCACAACGTGCGGCACTTTTATGCACGCATTGACGTCACGGGCCTCTTCTTATGAACTTTGGCGCGCTTTATCTCTTTAAATTTTCATTAGTTTGAAAAAGTGAAAAATACGTGTAGAGTATTTTTTGATAAGTTAACTGACGGACTAATTAAAACTCTTGCTTTTTGACCCAGGAAACATCCCTATTGTGCAATATTGCAAATACAACCGTAGTACTTATTATTATTCTGTGATACAACTGCTGCATACATAAGTACACTTACACTATTATGCTACCAGCACCTTATACCATGATATTGCGTCTATGAAGAAACTTAAGAGCGTTTACGCCGTTTGGCGCAAAAACAGTACTTTTTCAACCCGTTACAATCATTAACCAGTTACATTACAAATATGTTATAGGCATAAAGGCAATTTCGTCGTCTAAATAGTTAGTTGAGAAAATATTTCGATTAGTATAGTATTTAAGAATTCTATCAAGATAAGTCCACACAGGTTTTCAAATTTCCACTTTAGCGTCAGTTTACAAGCTGAAATTTTTATAAAAATACTTATAAAACGATATAACAAACATTTATATCCTATAGCATAGGTCCTTAGGCAATAAGTGATTTTTACACCATTATTCTTCTTTAATTCAACATAAAAATAGCTTAATATAATAAAATAACATCTTCTTTAAAATATTTACTTTGAAACGATATATTATATAATTCACTGTTATTGTTTTGCTATAAACATTTGAAAACTATTAAAAAACGCCGCGCGCGAATTTTTTCCAATGATGCCCCTTGAAACGCCGCGCTTCGCGTAAACGCTCTTAAGGCTATGAGCGCACGGCTGAATTTTGTCACTGACAGTATATCTTTCTTTTTTAAACTTTTTTAAAGAGGAAAAGAGACCACGTACATATCACTTATTCTTATCTATGGAGAGACATACTGTCATGGTGACAAAAGTCATCTGTAGGCGCGCGCTTATGGATAATAATTAATATTTTTTTATTTAATCAGCCAATGGCATTTTTTTACTGTACGACTAAATAAAATAAAATAAATTGCTTCCAGTCATGTACAACCAGTCTTGGCTTTTCTTCATTGCCTCATCATTGTCGCCTTTTTCATAGGAATTAGTAGAAGGAATAATTCATTCGAAAAAGCCTTCTCCATCGATAGGCCTATCGATAGTATCGATACCGTCGATACTATCGATAGCTCAAAACGAGGCAATACTATTGAATATGTGCAATACTATCGATACTATGGATAGTATTGTTGCTCGTGAAGAACAAACTATCGATAGTATTGTCGCTTTTGAATAAAAAGCTATCGATACTATCGAAAGTATCGATAGCTTTTTATTGAAAAGCTACTACAATACTATCGATAGTCTTGCGATAGTTTGGCTATCGATAGACTATCGATAGTCGACTATCGATCGGCAACACTAATAGGAATCACACGAATTTCCCATGGACCGTTTAGCCTAGGCGCAGACCACAGACTTTTAGCTGGTCGATAGTTACCGGGCTGTTAATAATATTACATATGGACATGTATGAAAGCACATTACACCGATTTGCTATCAGGCGATTCTTCATTGTCCAGCATTGGACGAAATTTGGCTGAAACAAAGCCTTTACCGATTGAAGCGATTTCGATAAAAGTGGACTGTATAGCGATAGGGAGACTTCCAAAATATTTCTGTGACTTGGGTGAAAAACTTTAAGATTGAAAATAATGTAAAAGGATTGCGATCGGGCTTACCTGGCTCCTGAAGATGTTTAGCCTGATACGTACAATTCAAGTAATCCCCCAGTGCTGGGCCCAGATGAGTTCCTACCGTCCTTGTAGTAACGGCCACGCTGGACACCTTCACACCGCCTCTCACGCAATCGATGATGGATTTAATAAATATACTACTTTAAACTACTGCGACACTAATTGAGAGTAATTTCTATGCTTGCGCGATAATTCCGACAAGTTTAACCGCCTTTTTGGCGATTCGAAAACGAGAGCGACACGACGGCCGAATCCAAATTTTGCAACTAACTTTATTTGACATTTCAACCAAATGTTGCTATACGAAAAATATTAAATAATGCTACGACTATGGTTTCACATTTATGTCAAAAGTGAACATTCCGCCCACCTAAATACAACCGTATTTACTACGAAAACGAAAAAAAAAAATACGGCGAAAATTCAAAAAATACGATAAGGCAACAAGTGCAACTTACAAACTACGAGACGATAGGTTTACACTCACCCTGTATTCGCGAAGGCAGTGTAAAGCGATAAACGAAACTTATTTAAATTTAATTTGATAAGTCATTTGCCAAAGGCAAAGGACAAATCTTAACGACTGGTCTTTTGTACTGCCCAGCAGCAGTCCTCACGGTCACCACTCGACAAATTCCATCTAAGCCAGGATGTAAGGCAACGATACGACCCAATGGCCACTTTTGTGGGCTTAGTAGCTCATTAACAACTAGAACCATTGTTCCCACAGTTATATTAGCATTGGTTTTATCCCACTTAGCACGTTGCTGTAAGGTGTGCATGTATTCATTGCGCCATCTAACCCAAAAGTCCTGGTGCATCTGTTGGATAAGCTTCCAGCGCTGAAGAGCACCAATGTTTTGACCGACAAGATTCTCCTCGGGCATTATAGTCATGGGCTCTAATGTGAGGAAATGTCCTGGGGTCAAAGCTGCAAGATCGTTAGGATCAGAACTTAAGGGGGTCAAAGGCCGAGAATTTAACATCGCTTCAACCTGAGCCAAAACGGTATAAAGCTCTTCGAAGGTAAGTCGCTGAGTACCGATAACGCGAGCCAGATGTGTCTTAACCGACTTGATCCCTGCTTCCGCTAAGCCATTGAAGTGGGGACTCCCAGGAGGACTAAACGAAAATTTTATTTCCTGAGCATCCGCGGCCTTCTGCATTAAGGAACCAAGATAGTTACTTGCACCGATAAAATTGCGACCCTGATCCGATACGAGCTGACTACACCTTCCACGACGTGCGATAAATCTGCGCAAAGCAGCAAGAAAAGCTTCCGTCGACAGCTCAGAGGCGAGCTCGATATGTATAGCTTTCGTAGTGGTACAAACGAAAACGCAAATGTAACCTTTAAAGGTCTTAACACCGCGACCACGTCCGAGAGCTATATCGAAAGGTCCACCATAGTCAACGACAGAACTCGAGAAAGGCTTAATTTGGTTAACCCGATACGACGGTAAATTACCCATGAGTGGTGTGGGGGCTGGTTGCGGACGGACACGAAAACATTTAATGCAGCCCGAAATTACCGACCGAATGGCGCGTTTACACGACAGGATCCAAAAATGCTGTGTCCAAAAAAGGTAGTAGCAATGGATGTTTCACTTCAAAATCAACCCTGGGATGAGCCAAGCGACCGCCCACCCTGAGAAGACCCGCTTCGAGACGAAGATTAACGATATACGAACATTCATCAGTAACAACTCGACAATAAACAACAGCACAGATTTGATCAAAAAACATAAAGGCGCCATGAATTTCGGACGGCTGCAAAGGTCCGTAATTACGGTTACAAACCGATTTAATTTTTAAATTATGAGCGAATCGAAAACAATACGAAAGAATATGTTTCACAGTGGAAACCGACGAAAATCGAAGTATCTGCAACACGAAAACTAAAAGAATCTGATTGTGGCTGCCACAACAGACCTAAGATTTTTAAGCGAAAGGTCAGGAATCTCTTCAAAACGCTTGAAGTCACCCGAATACAAGTCCGAAGGGGGAAGGCTATCGAGAAAAGTGCTACTGTTAGAGGTCCACTTCCTCAGATGGAACCCACCCGACGACAATATTTTGGTCAGTTCCATCCGAAGAGAGCAAGCCTTCTCGACCGAGTTCGCACCAGTGACTACGTCATCTACATAGATGTCACGTGACAGGACTGCGGAACCAGCTGGGTACTCCTCAGCAGAATCTGTGGCAAGTTGAGCCATGGTTCGAAGAGCCTGAAACGGCACCGACGATACTCCATACGTCACGGTTAACAATCGATAGTCACGCACTGGTCCATCAGCACTAGGACGCCACAAAATGCGCTGGTATTCCGCGTCTTCTTCTGGAACTAATATTTGCCTATACATCTGTTTCACATCTCCGGTGAAAACAACAGCATGCCAACGAAAGCGCATAAGCAGATCGAAAATATTAGTCTGAAGTTTCGGCCCGGCGAGTAAGGTTTCATTGAGTGAGACCGCTTTGCCATCTCTCGCGCTGGCATCGAAAACAACGCGGAGAGGCGTGCTGACAGATTCAGGGCGTAAAATACCGTGATGGGGTATGTAATAAAACCGACCCTCACTTGTGGGAGGAGGATCAACCTCTTCAAGATGACCGCGTTCTTTATAATCTTCCATGAAAGCGACATATTCAGCTCTTAATTCAGGACTAGTGTTCAATTTGCGTTCTAATGAGAAAAGGCGTTTAAGCGCAATTTCACGGGAATTCACAAAGACAGGTTTATTTGTGGGATCGACGAAAGGTAAGGGCACCACAAATCTACCTTCATGGTTACGAGAATGATTATCGACAAAATAACTCTCACAAAGTTGGTCCTCCTTCGACAAGTAAGACTTCTGCGGAGAATTTACATTTTCTATTTCCGAGAATCTTTTAATGGAGTTATCCAACGACGTTTGTGAAAGATTCGAGACGAGAAGGCAATTATTATTGCTACGACCGACAGGTTTGGGTGTGAGTCGATTGACGTCACACTCCCCCAAAATAAT